TATATATATATATATATGACACCTTAGGAATACATAATTAATGATTCATTACATTACACTGTTCAACTTGGAAAAAGTATCCAAAAATATTAAAATCATCAAAATGTCATTAATTTATGAGATTTATTATTAATTTTTTATTAATTTATGCTTTATATTTTATTTTGACATGATAAAATATGAAATGTCTTGTAAAATATATTTTACTTTTTAATTATCTTGTCTTTAGGCAACATAAGTTTAGATGAATACATATGAAATATAATTATAATCTTGTACTAATATATAGATATATAGATATATACTGGTACAAGATTATAATTTATATTTCATAAAAACACAAAATAAACAAAATTAAATATTTTACGAGACGATTTCATATTTTATTATGTCAAAATAAAATATAAGGTATCTCATAAACTATTGATGCTACTGTTTTGACAATTTTAATATTTTCGGGTGCTTTCTCCAAGATGACACAGTGTAACACAGTGAATCGTTATGTATTCCTAAGTTGTTTGCTAATGTTAAACAAAGATGAAATGATTCACTGCGTGTAGCACTCGCTGTGTCATTATTATACGTGTTTCTATCTGGAAAGCACCTTTTACAGAATATCTGAGAAATTGATTATATGTACAAAAATCTTTATTTAAATATAAATATATCTAAAAAAAAATGCAATTGCATTTTTTATGATAATTATTATATGTATATTTATAAAAAAAAAATTTGAAGAAATAAAAAGATTGATTTTAATTATTATAGTACGTACAGAATTTTTTCCTATACCATCTTTTTGCTACTTTTATTTCTTTTCTTTTATTTAATTTCTTTTCCTGACTCGTTCTATCAAATATATTTTTTATGCAATTAATGATGCATATAACTGAGTATATAATATTTTTTTATATCAATATAGATTAAATTTATTAATCTTAATTTAGAGTAAAATTAAATTAAACGAGATTAAATTTAAGTTGCTGTATACATTGATAAAAATGAATATAAGATATATTTTTAATTTTCAAGTAATATACAATTAAACATATATATTCATTTGAAAGATATATGCATATTCTTTTGGAGTACGAGTCATACTTCAAAATCAAGAGATTCAAACATAACTTATAAATGATGAATTACGAATGATGAATTGTTGATGATTGTATACCGCGAGCGCCATCCAACATTCTCACTCAGAACCAGCGATATGTACTGACGATAACTTCCATTCTAGTGGCGCTTTACTCGTTCCAACAAGATTATCCGTGCAGTGCCCTTCCTTCGGTTTGATACGGGAAATGGGGGGCGATTCCCGAGGTTGTTTGAAGACAATTTAAGTAAACACGTACTCGTGCGCGAATTTGTAACGTTGATTAAATGTGTCCTGACAATAATGTGATAATAACTCTCATGTAATGAAAAAATTATGTGTCGACTGTGTGCGATGGCAAGCAGAGTAATGATCGGCCATCAGCAGCAGTTCGTTGAAGAAATCGATTATAATGAAATCGAAACGGAGCAGGTAGTTCGTTCCTCTACCTTTGTATTTTCTTGATCTCGCTCCGCGAACGCTCGTCGGATATTTCTTATAAATTTAACGTCGTCTCGATTGTTAATTCTCACAGCCGAAGCTTGCTTTGCAATGCTGTTGTCCCTGCGAAACATTCGATCTCAGCAGGATAACCTCAAACGAGAGAGAACAGATCATTCGTACACAAGAGAATACAGGATGATTTCGACGAAACTTCGACTTTCTTTTTAAGTAATGTTTATAATGTCCTGTTAACGTAAATAAAATTGTCAATTTTTTACCATTTGATACATTGGAAGAAAAATTAGATCATGAAACAATGAAACAACTGGAAGTTTCTCTGATAAAAACAATGATTCTTTCGATTGAATTGATCATCATTTAATTGGAGTTTGATCAAAGTTAGCTCATAGTAAAGTTCCTGAATTAGCCACTTTTTTTTAAAAAAAGTATGTGATCAGATGACACTCTTTTCTATTCCACAATTATGTCATACAAACTCAATATTTTAATATACAAGATCAGATATCAAAATGTTTAGCTAAATAATATCTATATTTCCATCAACATCGATTAGTTTTAATCTCGATTTAATTTGCTTTTTCGTACTGGGAAAAAAAATAAGTCAAAGTTTAAGTAAATCTACTCTCTAAACTCTAAAATTTAAATTCATTCTAAAGAGTAAAATCTCATTAATCTCTCATCTTCTTAAAGATAGAAAATTTATTAAGACTGGCTTAATTTTCAAATGAGACTTCACTCCAAAAAATTTAAAGAGTATATTGATAGAAATTAAGAATATCGCTGATTACTTGATCTTTATTTGATCATAGGTAGTTGGTAAGGGATCCTTTGGAGTTGTTTGGAAAGGAAAATGGAGAGGACAGGATGTCGCTGTGAAACATATAAATTCAGAAGGAGAAAGAAAAGCCTTCACTGTGGAAGTTCGGCAGTTGTCTCGAGTCGCTCATCCCAATATTGTTAAATTGTACGGTGCATGCACCAAGAATCCAGTATGTCTAGTAATGGAATATGCAGAAGGTGGATCATTGTATAACGGTAATATCTAGAAAGAAATCGTTTCTTCTAATTAAACAAACTGAATGATCCTATTAATTTTTTGTGTTTATACTGACAGTACTACATTGCAATCCTCAACCACACTATACTACCGGTCATGCTATGAGTTGGACCCTTCAGTGTGCGCAAGGTGTCGCTTATCTTCATAATATGAAACCAAAACCACTGATACATAGGTAAGAAATCAACATGCTTGTGATTATCCTTTTGAGAAATGGAACTGAGCAGTAAATTTTTTATAAACTTTATCCCACAGAGACCTAAAGCCACCTAATTTGTTATTAGTTATGGGTGGACAGAGGCTTAAAATCTGTGACTTCGGCACAGCCTGTGACTTAAATACATATATGACTAATAATAAAGGCTCGGCCGCATGGATGGCACCAGAAGTATTTGAAGGATCTAGGTATACAGAGAAGTGCGATGTATTTAGTTGGGGTATCATTTTGTGGGAGGTTTTAACACGCAAAAAACCCTTTGATGACCTTGGTGCTTCAGCCTATAGGATAATGTGGGCTGTTCATGTAGGACAGAGACCCCCTTTAATAGAAGGATGCCCGAGACCAATCGAAGATCTTATGACTAGGTAAGAAATATATAAAACGCAAAGTATCTGATACATATGATATTATACATCTATAAACCTAAGTTTACTATCTCGATAGTAAAATGTTAGCAGTTTGCTAATAGATTGGCAGCAAATTTGATTGTAGATCCATAGCCATCTATGTATTGAGTTTCCTAAATCTATCAACAAAGTTTGCTGATATGCTATGCCAATTGATGGTAAAAATCGAGCAAGATCTATATGAACAAATAATATAATGTTAGATTGGCAATAGATATCGAATAAAAGTAGTACGTGTACATCTTGCTCGATTTCTATAAACTCGATTTAAACAAAACATATTAGCAGGTCTTATTTTTGGCAGCAATTTGTAATATCAGATATTACAGACTCTGTGAAATTTGTTGCCTTTTTGCCATTAAAAATAACTACTTTGCTCAAAATCTGTCTTTGCAAGTTTGGTTTTATGGATATTTATATGAACAGATCTGTATTGCTTATGGATGATATTTAAAAACCATAATTATAAAAAAATATACTCAATATATAATTTATTTCTGGTATTTATGTTTGCTATTTTTCTCAACAGATGTTGGCAGAAAGCGCCTGAAGAAAGACCTTCTATGGATGAAGTAGTAAGGATAATGACTGAACTATCAGAATTTTTCAGTCGCCATTTAGAACCTGTTGAATATTCCTTAAGTATGCATAACATATTTGGTTCATGGTTATTACATAAAAAATTATTATGTAAAAATATACTATGTATGTATCTATTATAGGTAGTGAAGATGATGTAGACGAAAACAAAACATCGAGGGAGGATACGCTTGATATAGTCAGTACATTAGATTTTCGAATGAACGGCTCCGTGGAAAACGGTACTATTCGTACAATTCCAAAGCCTATAGGAAAAACTAACGAATGCTCGAATGAAGAGAATTCATTGCCTTTTGCATTACCTCGTACCGCGTCGATCAGTGACGGGTCGACAAAATTTTCACCGCGGCAAAATAATTTAGGATTTCAACGAATACCCGACGAGGTTTCACTATTGAATAATTTTTACGGGAATGTGGATAGCAATTTAGAACACGCTAAATCATCACAAAGTGCAACAGCATCGACGACACACGATGACAAACTCACTGCATTGCAAAACAAAAACTGCAATTTCGCTCCATTGCACGTGGAGTGTGATCCGGTTAGTAGTTCTCTTAATGTATTGAATATCACTTTTATATTGTTTAATTATATATATTTTTATTTTTTATACATCTTTTACATTTTATAAATATCTTTTCAATTATTTTATATATTACTGTTTATATAATTAAATCTATATACATTAT